ATCGTGCTCTCTCCACATTGCAACTAGCCACTTCTTAATTGGTGTGGCATGGGGGGCACTGCCCTGGCCTCACCTCCTCACTGTTCCTTTTGAAAGCCTAGGGTGCACTAGCAAGGAACCATGGTGGCACAGAGACTGCAGTTGTTCCTTGCCCCTCCACAGGAGACAGGAGAACCAAGCCACATTGCTACCTTTCTCCCGTGTGGAGAAGGCCAAGAGGACCCACTTCAGAGGAAGAAACTAAGGCAGGGATGTTGCAGGGCTACCTCATGCTATGAAGGGATGCTGTTACAAGGTACAATACAGAATAAGAGTAACACATAGCTATTATTGTTAGAATGCTTGACAGAAAATGTCTCTTACGAAATCACTTAAACTTTGGACATCATACTTGTATTAAATGCTGATCTTGTATTCAGTTTCATCAAATGTAGATCCTGTTTGGTGATTTGTTTTTCCCTACAAATGTTAGTAATAACTTCTTTTCTACCTATTCTATATTTCTTTTTCCTGGATCCACAAGTATTGCCAGATCAGGACAGACGTGGCCCATTTAACTCAATATTCTGTCTCAGGCACTGGACCAAGTTTTAATTAGTGAAAAAGAAAAGATGACCTTATTGATGCTCTTAATGTTTAGAGGCCCATGCTCCAGAGTGAATAAAATACATGTAACTATAGAGTTGTAACATTCAAGATGCTGGCAGCATCTAACTGATTTTTATTTATTTTTTTGGTCAGCTCTTACACTGTAAACATTTATATGGGGTATTTAGCTGCATACCTTACTGGGCATCCAAGTTATAGATCCTGTGACATTCATAGTGGGTTTTGTTTTGTTTTTTCCCCCAGCTCCAGTCAATACCTAGTCACTTCCTTTCTGCAAGCATTGGTCAGACACATACCTTACAAAACATTAGATTATTATTATGGCCTTGATTTACAGGAAAATTGTGTCCTTTTAATGTTAGCTGTGGAGTCAATAACATTTTGCCTGGAAAGATGCTATAAGCCTCTTATTCTGCACTGCTGGCAATCCAGTAAGTGAGAATTTAGAACTTGCATTCTGTTGACCGCTACAGAACCATTATTATAAATGGTTGTGAATAAGAAAGTGGTATTACTTCAGACTTCTTTATAATTCGGTATTAAACTACTTACCAACACTGCTGTCTCTGATCAGCAAAGATGCTCTTAAGTATGACTGAATCTGTGTTATTTGAAAGGGCCTCAAGGATATCTGAAAAGCAGTTTAAAGCAATTACTGTCTCTTCCCAGACCATGCAGGCTAACACAGACTGAACTGCTGCAGAAAAGTAGATTCTACACATATTAATATCAAACTCTGCCACTGATTTTGTTGAGAATCAGAACTTATGTTTAAATTAGTTTCATCAAGTGAAAGTGGTTTCTAATGACAAAGTCACTAACCGTTTATGTTTACCAAATTAATTTAAATTTATACACAGCACCTTTCATTCTGAAGGATCCTTGTGCATTAAATAAATATACTTTATATGCACTTTACACAAACTATAATAAAGAGCATTATTAAGCTTGCAAACCCAATCACTCCAAAGTTTGGAAATTACAGAAGTAATGTTGCCTGTGATGGATTTGCTGTGGGGATGAATCAGAGTAGTGCAGTGAAGGAGACTCTTGTCTGCTTTATTCATTACAGAAGTTGGAAGATGTGTGCCTCTTGTGGGTACTGGGGGGATGGGTGAGCCTAGGCCTTCCCAAAACTAAAGGCTCCCTCCCCCCATGATAGGGAGGAACCACATCTCCCAGATACCAAGTGATTATGGGGACAAGAAATGGAAAAAACAGGAATGGAAGTGCAGGTCAAAGGTTGAAAATCAGTGTTCTGGATGGGGATTGGATGAGGCAGGGGATTGCAGGAGGAAAGAATGGTCATGTGATTAAGGCAATTTAATGCTGTGCTGCCCCAGAAAACTGCATTCTACCTGTGTCTTTGCCAGGGTGGAGTTCTTGTGTGAATGATGCTAGTCAAGTTTTTAAATCAGACTCAACAGCTGGTCTCTAATTGTGTTTCTAACTTTCTAGGTACCTGACTTCAGCTTCTGGGCTCTGATATGCAGGAGTGCAAGTCAAGGGGAGCTGTACTTCGAACATCTAATGTATTGTGTTAACGTAAACATGTCCTAGATGTCTCAAACTGGGTAAAATTAGTGGATGCTTTTGACCTTAATCTCTCTGTGCTCCCATATCCTACCTGAAAAATGGGGCTAATACTCCTCATCTCACAGAGATGTGGGAAAATTCATTAATATTTTTGAAGCACTCAGATACTATAGTGGTGAGTACATAGAAAAGCCCTTGAGGAAACTAATGATTGTCTTCAGAGTAGGGTTTGAGTAGTGTGCAGTAAATGTGGCATGGAGCCACACAGCAAACAACAAGGGGAAAACAAAGCATTGTATTCCTGCTTGTTAAGCAGCAAAATAAGTGTGTTCTAGCAAACAGAGCACTGGACTAGGATGCTGAAGACCGGTGTTCTATTCCGAGCTCTACCAGTGGCCTGCTCAGTGACCTTGAGCAAATCATTTCCCCTCTTCGTGCCTCAGTTTCTCCAGCTGTTAAATGAGGATAATGATGCTGACCTCCCTTAAAAAGTGCTTTAAGATCTGCTGATGAAAAGGGCTATATAAGAGCTAAGTATTAAGTAATCACTGAATGAAGCAGGAGTCCTTTGGAAAAAATAGTATGTGATCATGTCATTAAGCTGTATTATAATTTGACCTCTTTGAATTCATGCATTAAGGCTGCACAGGCAACCTTTAATTCTGGCATTTCCTAACTTTTGAGTGCTTGACCTTAATTTTTTAATGTAATTTTTATGTATGTAACTTCGTAGCTTTTTAAAAAAGCAAACTGAAAAAACAAAGTCTATCACCTGGTATTATATTGGCAGCCCTTTGAGTCCTAGGTTGGAACCTTTAGTTATACTATGGTATAACAGGTAACCTCTGCTCATCAGGCTTCTTATCCCAGTGTCCCTGCCTTCAGCTCCCTGACCCTGTACTCCTTGCCAAGTCAGTCCTAGGCCCTCATACAATTTCTCTCCCCTACCTGTCTCTCATGTCCTCCACATACACTGTCCCCACTGTCTCCTATTCCCACCCTTTCTCCGTGTGTTCCTTGTCCAATATCAGTGTCCCCCTAACTCCTTGTCCCAGTCTCTTTATCAAACATTCCCAATTCTCAGCCCAAACATAATTTTGCCAAACTTTACTAAGCAACTGAGAACAGGGTCTTACAGACACACAATGTAAGAATAGCCATGCTGGGTCAGACCAATGGTCCATCTAGGCCAGTATCCTGTCTTCTGATGGTGGTCTATGCCAGGTGCTTGACAGGGAATGAACAATTATCAAGTGATCCATCGCATTGTCCACCCCCGGCCTCTGCACAGGACTCAAGCGTGAATGACAGTAGAAATGCAGCTCTCTGTGAACTGCACCATGCAGCTGGCTGGCAGCTGAAAAACCCTTTATGCAACTCAAACAGAAGGAAGTGAGATAGGGGGAGCATGATTAATAAGACTTTGCCTTTTTCTACGCTTATCCTCCAAAACCCTCAAAGTGCTTTGCAAGGAGTAGATAAAACTCACAACTCCCTTTTGAAGTACTAGACTGATGATGTGTGGATGTGCACCCAGGCCACAGCTTACCAGTGGGTGGAAGGAGAGCATCGCCCCTGTTGGACATGGCCATAGGCCTCACAGTTACCGTAGGGCCAGGCGGGGGCAAGCAGGGGGCTGGGTGGTAGCCCCGGGGCTGCTGTGAAGCTCTGGGCAGGCCGCAGGGCCATGAAGGGGGGTCACTGCCCTGCTGTG